TATAAGAGGTTCTGAATATTATAGAATATGAGGGAAACTAAAGGATGGATTTTTTACTGCTTTTACTGATGCTCTGCAGTTTGGACTTTGCCCAAGAAATTTGCAAGAGTTCTGACCGAGGTCAGAAATGGCTTTTATTCTACTTGAAATAAACACACACAAGACTTAAGATGGTCTACAGGGCGCTACCCAGCCTGATTTCTGCCTGCTTCTCCTATTTCTCATTCCGGTCCTATCCTCTCTTACACAGCAGCCACATTGGCCCCTTTGGATCACTTCACAGCATGAAGCACTCTCTCTCACCTCGGGACCTTTGCACGTGCTACAACCTCTTTTTTGAACTCACCAATTCTTAGTTTTGAAATAATATTTTTTCAAAGAGGCTTTCCATCATCACTCATACTCTCAAGTCTTTTTTCTTCCTAACACTAAGCAAACCTTATAGTCATCTACAGATTTTTGTGATTATTTGGTTTTAGTCCTACAAGGTACTCCCTGCCAGGGTAGGGCAAGAGCAATGTCTTTTTTTATTCACCACCCTTAGCCCCAGTAAAAAGCACAAAGCCTGCCACCTGGTAGCCATTCAAACAACAGTCACTGATCGGGGAATGAATAAAGAATGCTTTTTAAAAATCTAGTTTGGGATTTTACTAAAAAAAAAAAACCCAAAAATCAAGAAATCCCTTCTCGGTCACGCCCTCTCTCATTTGTAGGTTGCATCACCCACAGACACAAGCAATTTTGACAGTTTCCCTGAGGACAGTGATGAACCACCACCTGATGACAACTCGGGCTGGGACATAGACTTCTAATGTATTTCTCTTACCTGCTTCTGCCTTGCTGAAGTCAGCTTTCTCTGAGACACGGCTGACAGCAAACCTGAGGGACGGAGAGAAGATCAGTGCTCGGGGTCACCATGATGCCTTTGATCGATGCTGCTCCAGTAACTACAGTGGCATGAGGACTTCTTGCTTAGACGACAGTAGTGCTCTTTACATGTTTTCTGTTTGATCCTAAAAATAGCAGTTGACATGGTGGTCCTGAAGCAAAGCCCTTCGCCAGTAAAGAGAGGTTTCCTGTCGTTGCAATGGTCTTGCTTTGCTCAGACTGTAATTTGAAAGACTGTAAGAAATACTTCAACCTAGAAAAAGAGTCCGTACCTTGCTAGGATGGCCAAGATCAAAAAATAATGTGTGGGGTACGATCGGTTGCCGTGGTACCAAAACGGGGCTCTTCCTTTCCTTCAAGGGAGGCCGTGGGATCTATTAGCGCAAGCCAGTGTCTATACCATACGGAAGAGGGCCACGCGTCTATGGGTCACGGCGTTCATGTCAAACCAGTGCTAGAAGTTTCCTGATTTTGTTTCCCAACAGTGCTGATGACGAGGCTGAATGTTACCTTTCCTTTCTGACAGATTTTAAAAATCGATACAATCAAAGCACAACTGCTATGAAGCCTCACGGCAGGTATATATGCGTTTTCACGGAGGATTGAAAAAAAAAAAAAAAAAAAACAACCTGCATGACATTTGTTTGTTTCTTTTTTTGATAAATTGGCATGACAGAGTGGAAAAAAAAAAAAAAGCAATTCACAAACCATTTCATATCGTTTCAAATATCGTGCTTCAAGATGGTCCTGGAAATCAGTGACTAGCAGCCAATTGATTTTTCTTTATTACCTAACATACTCTCAGACTGAGGCTTAAAATAGTCCCTTTTATAAAAATCAACCCTTGGGGTGGGGACGGGGTGGGGGGGGGGTGGGGTGGAGAGGGATGAAGATCCGTCCAAAAATAAAAATAAACTATATAGGTGCTATGTATATCTTTCATCTGTAAATGTCCGTGTCTGAGCAGACAACACAAATTCTAATCATCACCTGTGTAGCCAGAGACTCAAGCATTTTCACTACATTTACCAATGAAACTCCCGTCAGATTTCACTTACACAACATAGTCTAGGGTTGAGGGGAAAGGTGGTTAAAACCCATTCAACTGGCTTCTTGTCTTAGGCCTGAACCAAAAAGAAGAAGAAGGAAGCACAAAATCATCAAGATTTACCAGATGAGGGACCTTCCTTATGCGAGGTCAGGGAACAGGACAGGACCTGGCCAGGTGTTGATTCCCTTTTTGTGGATGAGCCGATGTGAGTTCATGCATGCGTGAGAGTAGAGGAGAACACAGGACCCTGATTTCTTAAGCAGAAGTTTTCATTAAGTAAGACGGAAGTATTGCAATCCTGAAACGTACCTGGAAATACCAGACTGATTTGCTTTTTCATGAGGGAAGAAGAATCAGCAGTTTCAAGTGAATCCTCTGTTGGCAGGCGAGTTGACTACTCTGAGCTGTTCTAAGTAGCAGAGACATTTGGAAGCTTTTCCTGGACAAGTAGCGTTAAACCTGCGTAGACAAACGCATAATCTTACGAGCTGTCATCCTGATTTAGAGCTGTGAATTTGGTACATCAAATTGAAGTTTGCCTTGTTCCAGGAGAGAATTTTCTTTTTTTTAAACTCAATCAAACGTAGACGGTTCTGCAAAAAACATGTCCACGTCGGTCATTGATTTTTTCATACTAAGACTACTTTAGGATAGGATATCAACACGTAATGATCTAAAAACAACATTCGGGGGATAAAAATTATAAGGGCATATTAAACATAATCAGAGTAAAGTTAAACTTTTAAATTAAAACTTTGACCCCCAAGATGTTACGGTTACTCCTGTGTTTTTCTGGCCTTTGCAAACAATTGCTTAAGATCAATTTATTCCCCAAGATATCCACTTTCTTCTACAGATTTCAGAATGTAAAATGTACCCAGCTAAAATCCAGCTGTGAGTGCTATTTCAGAATTTTTATATTTGCTTTTAACTGGGCTCGTAAAAGTACATAATTTCAATATCATGGTCAATGTTCAGTGAGTTTTGTTAAAAGAGTGCTTTAGGCATGCTAACGATTTGCTAGATACTAAGTTTATCTCGTCGTTATTTAAGAGAATCTGCTCCCGCAGTTTTCCAAATGCCCCAGTAACCCCAGAGGTTAGCCCTTACCGTGGATGTCGAAACTATGGTTCAAGTCTAAGACAACAACGTACAGGTTCTCTGAGGAATGAAGAGAACATTCAGCTCAATGGCACTGTCGGCCGTCTCTCCCACCTGTCGCTCTATCTTCGTTCATGTCACCTGTGGCGCTGCATTAGGATGTCTAAAGCAATCACTAGCAAACAAAGGCGAACATCTTCCAAAAATTGCTAACAGTCATCTAATCTTAGGCATTGAAATGTAAGGATTTAAATACTGTCCTAAGACACTAGGGCTAAAATTCACGGTCAGCTCTGTAAAGCGCATCTCACTTCATTTCCGAATTTTTCATACCCCTCCATGTTCTTACACTGGAGAACATCTGGCTAAGTTAGAATAGTGCCAACTCGTGTGATTTGTTAACTGACTTTCTTGTTAATACTTTGAGTCTGGGAAATAAGGGCTTTCTGTGCATCCTGACGCACAGGAAAACTGAAAACTGCCAAAGGAAAGGGGCGTCCCGATATTTGAGAGACACCAAATACGTTACAGAAAATGATTTCTGGAAATTTCCTATCAATGATTTTCATGTTTGTACCTTCTTCGTTACTCACATATGAATCAGATCCATGTGGCATTGAAAACAAATTTATTTTGATGATATTCTTTACAAGTCACGTTTCTTACTTAAAATGATGGGATTTGCATGTGAATCACACATGTGTAACACATGAGTTCAACTATTGAATTTTTCTGGTTTCATTTCTCAAGGACTGAGCTAATGGCGAGCTTAGAGAAGTCAGCTACCACACTGAAAATAAGGAAATTAGAACGGATTCATACAGTAGAGGCGATCTGTGCATTATCCATAACGATGTTTTCTTTCACAATAGGACCACAGACAAATATTTATGTAAATAGATATTTTTGTGTGATATTTTGTGGTACATATACCTTTTTTCAGTGTTTCACAGCATTATTATTTCATCTTCTTTGTACTGAATAATGTTTTTAGGTCCAAGTAGACTTGAATTAATGTCATAATTGTCAGTATTATTGAAAATTACGTCCACTGTATGGTTTCATCTGTTCCATAGTTTAGGACATGACCTGGCTATCTGGCATTGTTGCAAGTGCCTTAAATTCCTGGCATCCTATTAAAAAACAAATTTGGTGTTATGCTGCATGAGAAAGACAAATCCACCTCAAAATGTTGTCCTTTCTTAGCTTGCTGCGTTTTACAGTTCTTTCTGCTAACAATTTCTAAGCCTTTATTATATAATATTGATGAATTACAGAAATGATGAAGTTGTTCTCTAATTTCTGTTACATGTACCAGAGCTGTGTATCTGTTACTGAGATACAGCGTCATTTCTGTGAAATGTATAAATGTATGTGCAGGTCAAATTAATCTATGACATACTATCAGTCTGTACACAGGTATTCCTGTTTTGCTAAGCTGTGCAGATCCAGTTAAAAAAAAAAAAATTAGTGCAGTCAAGTTCTAATGCCTCATTTTATAGACTCCATTCGTAACGACCCAACTCAAAAGAAGAATCAGCAAGTGACACGTCGTTATGAAACCAATGAGGAAAACGTACCTTAGCGCACTCCTCAACAAAACAGGATGCTTTCTGAGTTCTTGTATATGCAAATCACGTAGGAGGCAGTTTGCAACAGACCTGGGAAGATAAACATTGGAAGCGTGTTGTTAGCCCTCCTCCTTATCTGCCCCTGGGACCCTGACAGTGACTCAGAGGTTTGGGCTTTCCGAGGAAAGGGACATTTCTTTAGGCATCATCTGTCCACTTTATTTCATTGTATGATGTTTTTACAATTGGTCGGTTCTTTTGTATTCTTACAGCTATGGTTATTTGATTGTCCTCTTACAATTTGTTCCACATGGAAGAGTCCTTTGTTAGTCAGAATGCAACCACTGTCATCAAATGGTCAGTGACCACTTGCACTCTTTTGATGTAGATTAAAAACTTTTTCATAAAATTAACCTGCTTTGATTTGCTCTGTATTTTTCCTGCAGCTGTAGTTGCTGAGTGCCTGTTGTATACTTTATAGAGTTGAAATAAAAAAAAATAATTACTTTTGAACTTAGTTGATGTTTCATTCCAGACAAGATTTCGAGAACACGGTTGATGAATCCTCCTGGAACGGAAATACGCTGCAGCGCTATTTTAGAACGTCACTAAAACAAGAGAAATGTTACTCAGGACCCAGGTGTCCTTCACACCGGCATGTATTATGATCTGATAGAAAGCTAAGCTAGCATAGCAGTTTAAAGAATTCAGTGGGGATAAGTCAGGTAAGTCAGGCCATCCAGTGTGAACAGAAAGGCAAATGTAGATACGCACACAAGCCCCAACCTCGGTGGTGTTCTGTGTGCCACTACCCCTGCCCCCCACCTCCTCCCCATCCCCACCACACTCTCCTTGTTTGGGCTACCCTTGGTCAAACTGTGAACTCGGCAAAACATCAGAAAGGTTAAGTCTTGTATAAGGCTGTGTGCTAAGACTTCTAGGAAAAGCAGCTCCGTGAATCTTTGTAGACATCCAGTCATCTCATTTCTTCTGCAAATAAAACTCAACCATGGTTTTCAGTATCCTTCCCTTATATTCTGTGATTTTCATACCCTTGATCTAAGAACGGTCGTCTTTGATCCTGGGAAGTTTTGTTTTGTTTTGTTTTGTTTTGTTTTGTTTTCCTTTGGTGTTACTTACAGTTTTTGGAGAGGCGTGCAGATCAATACTCGTGATGATTAGCTGAAGCATGTGAGGATGTTGCATTCACACCACTGTCACATCTTGCACAAGTTAATTGCAATTGAAGTAAATCACACAATTACCAATGACAGCAGGAATCGATTATAAATTTGGCTCGAATGTATTGTTGATCACGCAGCTTGATTAAGGGTAGATGTGCAAGCAGAATGTCGAGTCTCAGTTATAGCCCTAAATGTGTAAGGCACATAACACAGAGCAACCTTTTTTTTTTTTTTCTGAGCTCCCTAGAGTTTTTCTCTTGTTCCATACTTCTTTCCAACTCAGAAGCCCCATAAACTGAAAGAAAAAAAAAAAAAAACAGTAATGTTTACCTATTCCACCTATGTTTTTTGACCAGGGTGAGTCTATGGGGCAAAAAACAAACCATCCACATGCCCATTAGCTAAGGCAGATGAATTAAGGCTCATGCAATAATAATAATAATACCACCAAATTAAAAGAAAAAAGAGAAAGCAAGGTATCACTAAGAATCCTAAGGGTTGGCACAGATTTCATAGAAATTAATAGGCTCAAGACACATGTTCCAAGCCAGTGTTCTTTTAACATCGATGTCATGATATGTATCTGGGAAATACGGTGAAAATATTTCCAGCACCACCCGCGGTTATTTTGACATAGCCCCAGAATCTATATTTTTAAAAAGCACCTTAGCATATTTTGGTGAAAATATCTATACAC